CGTGGAAGACATGCGTCGTCTTTCTGCGTTTGATAACGGTTGCTTAAGGAGGATCGCTCGTGTTTGGTGGCAACATCGAGTTAATAGTAATGACGTTCGACGTCGCATCTTGGGGAATGCGAGTATTCCCTTCAACAAACTGGTTTTGTTGCGCCAGTTGAGATGGCTCGGTCACGTCCTACGCATGGCACCTGAGCGTCTACCACGTCTCGCTCTATTCGCTCGTCAAGGACCTGGCTGGAGGCGACCGCGTGATGGTCAGCCATCCACTTGGCGGCAGCACATGAAATCGCTGACGTCGTGTCTAGCCGCTGTGGGATCCGTACGTCTTCCAGGATGGGGACCCAAAGATGAGGAGTGTCAATGGATTAGCACTCTTGAAGACATGGCCGGCAACCGGAATCAGTGGAAGAATTGTGTACAGTATTGTATTGATTCACATGTTTAATACTACACACCTTAAACTGACAAAAAAGAGCAAAAGCGGCGTGTGAAAACAAACTAAAAATGTTTTGTTCTACTTTTTGTCAAAATGTTCCATTCCGGCTGCGGCATATTAGTTGAAGTGTGTTGCTCACCTTCAACTAGCATGCCACGATGATTATGACGCGTTGATTCTTGCTTATCTCCTGACCTCCATGGTTTTACTCTGGCTCTATGTCTAGATAATAGACTGTTGTGGTTACATGGTTGGCGGCATCCGGTTTCGGATTTGCCTGTCACTGTGGCAAGCCACAGGACGCCTGCGCCTACAGAGGGACCATGGATGGCATGCGCTGTACCACCCAAATCTCCAACCACACACCCCATATCCAGTGTAAACCCGAAGGAATAAGACCGGGAGGCATGCGGATGGGAACCACGTTTCATCAACGGAGCCGGCCCACACTCCTTCACAGGCAAACACAAGCACACTGTATTTGGGAATCAAGCGCACACAAGGCGGTGGTTACATACATACATACATATTAGCAAGTGTATCCAGCCAAACGTGTTCATCGTCTTTCGGACCCCAGCCAGGGAGCCGAGACGCTCCAACCGAGGCCAGCTCCGAAGTGAGGGCCTTCATTCCTTTTGACTAATTTATCGCTTGGCCACCACTCCTCTTCTTCCAAAGACACCCCCGGCGAGCAAACACCTCACGTCGCGAGAGTTGCTGGGCTGGCATGCATAACACGTGGTCGAGCCATCGGAGCCGGATGCGTGAAATAATTGTGTTGAGCGGTTCATTTCCTTTTCCTCTGCCGTAAACAAGGCGTCGGACACGCTCGTTGCTCACGCGGTGTTCCCACCAGATGTGTGCTAAATTGCGAAGGCACCGGTGGTCGAGCCTAACTAGCTTCTTTATGTCTGTTGATCTAAGAAGAGAGGTTTCACAACCGTACCGTAGGGTCGAACGTACCTCTGCATTGTACTCCACCCTTCAGGACGAGAATGATATCACGCTGGCACCACACGTGTCGAAGGTTAGCAAAAGCGCCTCGAGCTTTTGCTATACGGTTCGTGATCTCGTCTTCAATCCCACGGGCACTGATGCAACTTTTAGGTAGTTGAATTTTTGAACGAATTCTAGCTGATCCGCACCAAGGGTCAGCTTACGAGGCGGTCCAGGCCAATCTTGGAGGAACGCTTTACACTTCGAGGGCGCGAAGCAAAGCCCGAAGTGACGAACAGACAGTGCTAATCTGTCTAGTGCCGCTTGGTACTTTTGTGGGCTGTCACAGATTAGGGCAATATCGTCAGCATACTCCAAGTCAAGAATTCATTCACCTGGGAGCAGATCCATTTTCTAAGTCGTGTCCTGTGAACGCGGTTTGCATTACATCGTCAGTAGCGAAGTTGAAGAGGTAAGGTGACAGCGGACATTCTTGTCTCACACCGCTGGAGATATTAAAGGGCGACGACAGCTTGCCATAAGCCCTCACTCTGTTCGTGCTATGCTCGTTTAATGCTCGGATAATATTTACATATTTCTCAGGCACACCTTTCCTCAGCAGACAGTCCCAAAGTGCACGTCTATCCACTGAATCGAATGCACCTTTGATGTCGAGGAACACGACAACGGTGGGCCGCCAATATGTGTGACGGTGCTCCAACAACTGATGCAAATTAAAGTTGTGGTCAACGCAGCCATGAGCTCGACGAAACCCGGATTGCTCTTCACGAATATGGCTTTCAGGAGTGCCAGTCAGTCTGTGAAGGATGACCGAGGCAAGCAATTTGGAGGCGATGGAGACCAGACTGATTCCTGTATGGCTGCCGCATTCCGATCGTGAGCCTCCCTTGAAAATTTGGACTATGACGGACCGACTTCAGTCGGTTAAGACCGTATCCTGCTTCCACAGTTTCACTAGTAACTCGTATAAATCATCCAGAAGAACAGGTCCCCCGAATTTAAGGAGGGCTGGTGGAAGGTCATCTGGTCCCGCGGCTTTGTTCTACTTCAGCAGTCCGATCTTACCTTCGAATTCTGAGCGAGAGGGTGGATGCAAAGGGACAGCCCAGGGAGCGGGGCGATCCGTGTCCGCCGAGTCATCTAACCATTGCGACCGATTAAATTGCCTTTCAAAATGCTCAGCGTAACTCACCAATCATTTTGACAAGTTGTGGGTAGCCTGTCCACTCTCGTTGGTATAGTTTCACTAACACCAGGTCTCCTGCTGCCCGTTTCCCTTATCAGCCGGAATAACTTACGATGGTTACGAAGGGCAGCGACCATTTCCATCTCTGAAGCACGATGAGACCACCAGAATTCGCGGTCTCTCTTCAGGCTAGCACAGAGTTTTGCCCGGAGCTCTTTGGGAGTTTCATTGTGTTCGCTTCCAGCCGGAACATGCCGGCGAGCATCTATAAGTTCCAGAGACTGCGAAGAGACCCAATGTCCATGTTGGCGATTAAATTCACCATATGAAAATTTGCCTGTTGCTAATAAGGTCTGGTGAATTTGATACCAGTGAGCTTCAATTGGGTCTAGTGAGCGTTTACTCAACTCGCATGACAGCGTACTGTGATAGGCACTCAGAACAGCTGGCGTCATCAGTTGGCTGGTGTCAATTCGCTCACAGCGTCGTCGTGGGCCTCCGCCAAAACGCATCCGCTGGTTAGCACATACAAGGGCATGGTCGGTGTCCACACATGTGCTCCAAATCGAGCGACAGCCTCTCCATCGGTAAATTATCGCAATGTGATCGATTTGCGTCCATAGCTGGTTTGAGTCTGGTGGGCGCTAAGTTATCCTCCGGCAGGTGCTGTGTCGGAAATTAGTGCTTTCAAGAACTGAGCGAGTATCTTCACACAAATGAAGTAACCGCTCACCGTTATTACAGGAGCCTACACCATGTTGACCGCCCAGATGCAGTTCATCAGTGGACAACTTTCCAACTTGAGCGTTCAGATCCCCAGCCAGCACAACAGTGTCTGAGCATCTTCTGTGGCGAAGGAGCTCGTTCGGTTGGCGGTAGAAGTCGTCTTTTACGAAATCACTGCTACAGTTTGTGGGTGTATAGGCAGCGATGACGAATAGACACCTGTTAGTCTTGTGCGGCTTCGAAGTTTTGAACGAGTCAGCCAATCGGACCACACACAACCGGATACTGATTGGAATCCAATAACCCAGAGCAGCTTCAACCCGGGGACTCAGGGCGATGCCAACACCAGCTTGGCCGGTGCTCGAAGCTGCATCGTCACCGGATAGGCGCAATGGGAAAGTGCTGCTGGTGTCACCTGAACGGGATCGCAAAGTGAGCACTGACCTCGAGTCTTGCAGGCGGGTCTCCGATAAGCAGCAGATATCGATCGCGAATGTCTCTAATGTTCGGGCAAGTGCTGCCTGTTGACCGATCTGTAGTAATGTGCGTACATTGAGGCATGCCAATCTGAAGGAGGATCGAGGGCTCCAAATGGAAGCCGATGAACTGGGCTTTGGACATGAACTTGTCGACAGGAGAGGAGTGACTCTCCGCGTTCACATGTGAGTTGAAACTAAAAGGTAAAAGCCTGTCAAAGCAAGGTGGGGGTGAGTTGAATACAGGGGGGATATAAATGAAGCTGGAAGTGGACGTTAAGAGCGAAAACGCGTAAGAGGGGGAATAAGAAGATGGGTAGGCTTGAGCAGTAACATTTAAACCCATATCCACCCTGCTCGATGCAACCGATGAGGCACCGTTAATTATTCTCTGCGGTGGCCAGAACATCACGAAATTGTTTGACGGATGGTTCATAGTATTGCGTGGGCAGGATACTGTTAAGTTGCTCAGGCCTAGACAGGAGAACGATTAGGGTTCTCAACCAAAGTCTTCGGTTCAAAAACCTAACCACATGGCAGCAAGTTCGGCGTTGGGCTACAAGGAGTCCGTTTTAAGGAATAACGAGCCACCCTTATTCGAACCCCCAACCTGGAGGACCAGGACGCTGAGTTCTTTTGGCATGTAACCATTGACCAATCTGGTGTGAGTGGCTCTGAAAGTGCAAAAAAGCACCACCCAGCACAGCTCAATGGATCTCTGAAACATGCAAACTATCGCACCGGGGTAAGGTCCAGCCTCATTGCGATGGGAACCTACGGTTAAGTGTTTTGAGCGTCAGTTATACACTCTCGGCAACGCGTAACCTTCCGTTTCCCCTAACCATATCTACCTCCATACTGCTTCCTTCACCCATTGTTATTAACCTGCATTTGAATGACCTTCCACTTTGTCTTCACTTTCTTCCCATATTTTGCTTACTTCAAGTGACCGGCCCAGCAAAGATTGCTAGTGCAGTAACCTTGACCAGAGTGTGGTTCGAGCGTTTAGTTTTAGATCCCTCAAGACCTCAGAGCAGCTTCTCAATTTTCCGCTCAACGATCTGCTCAAGAAGGAACACACGGGGTTCTCCTGTTGTCCCACAAACTTAAAATTAAACCCTTATTTTCTCCTGTCTTTATGCAACCGGCCTACTGCTGGGTCATGGCACATAGGCATCAACTGGTTGACCAAGGTGTGATACGGTTTCTTGTTATAGGTACATCATTTTAAATTGCTTCATCAACTCCTAGTCCGCTGAAGAAGAAACATTTACGGGAATATCCTATCGTTCCGGATCTACTTAAATTTGTACGTTATCAACGATAATCTTTGCGCTTTATGTGTGAAGTTATTTATCCGTTGTCCGCTCATCGACGGGTTTACTTTGCTGGTGCATTGCCCTTACTTTGGATGCATTTTATTAAAGTGAACACGGTCAAAACTGCCTATGTCAGCTCCCCTTATTCCTTCCAAAATTCCGCTCTCCGATTCATGGTTGACCGAGGTTCAATCAGACGAAAGTGATTCTCGAGGACCAGAAGCCTTTGAATGTGGTCAAAAGCTGAAATATTCTAAGGAGTCTTATGACGTTTGCGGCAACGAAACTGATAATTCTAGTAATTCAACTGATGATAGCGACGATGCAGACGATGAGGACTGGATTGCCTCGGATCACGAAAGAAAGGTAAGATTTCCAGCTAGGTGAGGTTCGCTGCATTTTTGCGTGCCTGTATTGCGATAACTTGGACATTCTCTTGTTGCTGGCGAGGCTTAAAAGGTGATGTTTGCTCCGCCTCTTAGCTGTCACCAAGATGCAATGGTACGATTTGCACCACCTCACTGACTTCGTTAGTTCAACTGTCCATCAACCTAGCGTGCGCTGTTATTTCTGCTGTCCTCCATCTTTTTGAAATTGTTCTTTTTGTATTTTGTGTGCTGTTGTGTATACGCTTTTTGGATCTCAGCTAAATTGATGGTGGGACTGCGTCCCACCTATTTTTGTTTCTCCTACACTATGTTTCGTTGAACGTTTTAAACATCATTACAACCTAACCGATGGGCTTAGATTCTTCCATGTTAACAATGAGCGTTCCATGGATTAAAACCACTCACGGCCCCTCACCCTGCCACTTGTGTCATTTAACTCCGGGTAGTTATGTTCCCACAAGCCCTCACGGATTGCATCAAGTCCACCGAGACGGATACTTGTCCAGTAAGGTTAGATACCGGTAATGACGCTTCTTTTTTATCCTGTCGATCCCTCGTTCTTCCCTAATTCCCTCCTGTTGAGGTTCAAATGCGGCCGTCTATGTGCACCCGCTTCCTATCTCATAAGTGTTGTGTTGAACGGATAGTGGAAAGCACTCTACGATGAATAGATCGACAATGACCATGTAGACACGGATAGACGGTCCCATTTTGTATGCGTTCTCGGTCACCTGTAGTGGGGAAAAAATAAAAATGAAGGCGTAATATAACTAAATTTGATAATAAGTTATATGGTGCATCGTCAACACCATTCGAACATCGGAACATTGTATTTAATGGGAATGAAGCTGGAGCTTTACATGACCCATAGGGTAAAATGAGTTCGGGTCGGGTCTAATGAAAGGTCAAGCAACCTTATAGCGGGTTGGACTCGCGTGTTAGCCGTATCTTCATCGGACTTATGCGGCATTTAAACAGAATGCACGCCGGCTCAAAGCGTGACATCCCACCACGCCCTCCGAAACGGCTTTGGAAAGGAAGTAGGTAGAAGAAAAAAAGAAATTCCATAGAGTAGAAGGTAGTTATATTAGGGAATATCGCGGTGTAACTCGGCCAGATGACAGTCCAGACGGGTCTTAAAGTCCGCCACAGTGGGTGCCAAGACTAAATCGGCAGGCAGAGCATTCCACGGTCGGCAGATTCGCAAACCGAAGTAGTGTCGTCTGCAGTTCAGCCGACTATGTTGATGTGTGAGCTTCAGTGGGTGGCCACGTAAGTGGGAGCCCGACTGGTGCAGTGTGAGTAGGTGGCGACAAGGATGTCCAGGATTGGATAAGATCATAAATACAAGGATCAGGTCACCCCGTAGACGTCGGTACATAAGCGAGTAGAGGCCCAGGCACTGAAGTCGTTGTGGATAATCTAGGTGCTTGAGACCTCGGACCAGTTTGGTTGCTCGACGTTGTGGGGCTTCGAGTATACGTTGGCCCTTAAACAACCAAGCGCTCCAAGCCTGAATAGCGAACTCCAAGTGGGGTCGAAAAAAAGCGTTGAGGGGGAGGCGGAAGTTGCTAGGGTCAATTTGACCGAAGGCTCGTTTCAGCAATCCCACCATGCGGTTAGCAGCAGCTGCTGCTTTCCGGCAAGAAGCGGATACGGAAAGACTCGTCCGGGTAATGATACCCAAGTCTCTTTCGGCTGAAGAGATCTGGAGGATAGACGCTCTCAGGTAATATATAGGAGAAAAAGTGGAAGGGCGGGTAGAAAGGACGCGACATTTCGAAGCGTTAAATGGAAGGTTGTTTTCTACGGACCACTGATGTAGACGGTCTAGGTCTGTCTGAAGTACGTGGGCATCGTCCGGAAGGTTAATTGTGCACCACAGCTTCGCGTCATCCGCATATAGCAGCAGCGAAGACTCCAGTTGCGGTGTGACGTCGTCAATGAAGGCTAGGAAGAGGTGCGGTCCGAGAACAGACCCCTGTGGAACTCCGCTTGTGACAAGGATGCGGGGAGACAACGCTCCGTCGACGCGTACTTGGAAGGTACGGTTTTGAAGGTAGTTCCGGATCCAGTCCATCAAGACCCCTGAAACGCCGTAAGACAACAGTTTCTGCAGTAGAATCTTGTGGTCGACCATGCCGAAGGCTTAAGCGAAATCCAAGATTATGACATACGTTTCTAGGCCAGAGTCGGCAGCAGTCGTCCAGTTGTCCCTGGCAAGTAGCAGGTTACTCATGCATGACCGTTGACGCCGGAAACCGTGCTGGCAATCAGAGAGCAGTTTCTGGGCCTCCATGTAGTCCATTAAAGCGTCTGCGACGATCGATTCCATCACTCTGGAGATCGTAGATAGGAGAGTTATCGGTCGGTAATTGGCCGGATCTTTGCGAGTGCCGCCTTTGTAGATTGGTGTAATAGTCCCACATTTCCAATCATTGGGAACTTTGCCTTGCGAGAAGAAGTGGGTGAACAGCTCCGCTAGGGGTAAAGCTAGAGCTGCAACGCACGCTCGCAAGAGCCGTGGGTGGAAACCATCAGCGCCAGGAGAGGCCGTTAGCCGCAGGGATTTGAATTTGGCCAGGACCTTCTCCGGAGTGAAATGAACAGTCGTCGGGGAAGTTCAGGGTGAAACCGAAGAAGGTACCGTCGTTGCGTGCATTGATGGAACGGAGAATGTGGATGCGTACTGCTGGCACAGGACTTCTGCTGCCTCGTTAGCTGATTTCGTGAGCCCTGTGGGGGTCGTCAACGCGGTGACACCGTGATTGACTTGTCGAAGACTGTTGACGTGACTATACAAGGCTTTGGGATTGGATGAAAAGTTACGCATAAGCTGACGCTGATGCTCACTCTTATATTCTCGTACAAGATGGATGCATTGGTTGCGGATGGATCGGTAATATTCTCACTGAATGGCCGTTGGATGGGAGCGATAGTTTCTCCATGCCGTGTTCCTGGAGGCAATCCATTTCCGTGTACGACTTCGGATGAGTGTTGGGCGTCTCTTCCCTATGGAAACTTCTTTGCACGTCGTCGTAGTGGAGCAGAGTTCACGTAGGGTAAGACAAAAGCTTGACCACACGCTGTCGGCACTCGATTGGGGCTCGGGTGACCAGGTGTTAGCGGAAATGAGAAGGTTCAACTTTCCGTAATCAGTCCAGCGTTTGGTATAAGTTGGCGTGCTGACGAGTTTTTCGGCGAAGCATATAAAATCGGAACGGAGGACGCAGTGGTCGCTAAGCCCCAAAGGGGCATCATACTCAACGTGCTCAACCATCAGTTCTTCGTTAGTGAGGACGAGATCTAGCAGGGATGGTTGGTTGTTGGATCGGAATCTGGTCGGCTGATACGTGTGGTTGTACAACGGGGCCGTGTGAAGATCAATGACGCCTGATGCAAAGGAGTTAGTAGACGGGACAGAGTGAAATAGACGGGGCAGGTTGAAATCACCCATGATAAGAAAGTATGTGCGCTTGTGGGATAACATAAGGTGGACGTCGTGCAGTAGTCCTGCGTCCTTCTCGGGAGAGTTGTTTGGGGGGCGGTAAATGATACCAGGACAGCTGGTGTTTGGCAGTTAGTACGACCTCGCACCACATGGTGTCCGGAGACTGGAGGGCAGTGTTTGTTAACATGCTGCAACTGAGGGAGGTGTCATAGTACAGTTCGACACCACCACCTGGGGTTGCGCGATCAGAGCGGAGAACTGACATGTGAGGAAGTTAAATTTCACCGTCGGTTGTCGCCGGAGAGCCACGTTTCCGTTATGGCTATTAGGTCCGCTGGCCCTGACAGAAGTCGGGATTGAAGCTCCGGAAGTTTGGACATGAGGCCCTGTGTGTTCGTGTAGATACAGGTGAGGCCCTCTTGAGTGATGAGCGCGGGAGTAACTAGGGTGCTGCCGGTCAGCAGATGACCGGCAGTGCACCGTTTTTTTGGTTTAGAGGGGTGGAGCCGCTAAGGTTTGTAGTTGGGGTAGCAAGGTGTGGGTCGTCGGAGCACAGATGGGTGCTGGCGGCTGGGTCGTTGAAAGACTGAAGGTTGGAATGTGTAGGTGAGTAAATTACTCCAGGCAGTGAGGCAGATGGTTCGGTGATGGACCGTCTGAGGACGATTTGGTCAGAGTGTGTCGGTACCGAGTTGGCTGCTGCTATAGGTCTGTGGGAAGCTGTGCGCCTCGGCACCGGGTGCCCATCTGAACGCAAACGGATATCTGGTGGTGCTCGTCCTTTATTAGCATACCAGATGGTGAGGGCATCGGTTGCCATGCTTGCGGTGAGGAATGTCACTTTCAGGAGATGGGGGACTCTTCCTGTATAACTTGCTGGACGAGGTAGGCGGTGAACGTCCGTCGTGATTAGGTTGACAATATTTAGTGTCTGCTGAAGGAACCGCCATTGATTACAGTCATGCTGTTGTCGTTGCTAGGTTGCGTGAATGGCATGCAGTTCTGGGACGCCATGCGCGATGATGGAGCATGGTTGAGTGGGTGGCGTCAGTTGCTGTCTGCGCGCAGCGCGCTTAGCCCAAGGGATGTCGGGGAAGATACGAATTTGGTAAATGCCGAGAGACGCATGTTTCGGAGTAAGTGTGCTGACAACAAGAGATCCTCCATAGCCAGGCCTGGCTGCAAGTCAACACGCAGAAGTTTTAGCCTACCGGCACTCGGAGATGAAGTGTGGCGAATCAGTCTTGTGAGACTTATAGGTTTTGTTTCAGGGAGGTTTAACACGTTACAGATTGAGCTCCACATAATGGAATCATGAGAATGTCGATTCTGAAGTTGCGGGTCGTTTAGACTCTGGCACTTTTGTACATATGACAGAATTAGGAGTAGTGCTACTCGTTATTCGCTTAGACGAACGCGGATGTGGGGCGGTAGCAAGCTTACTTTGTAGGAGGGCTTCCGACGGAAGCGTTGGGCGTCTGCAGTGTTGGACAGATCAGCAGTTTGTAACGGCGAGACGGTACGTG